GTAGTTCGTATTCTCTTGATGCCAAACTGCTTTAAACGGGCTTTAAACTCGTCACTTTCAAAACAGGGACCCTGGTCAGTTAATATCATCTTCGGTATTCCGTGACACGCTACAATATGCCGGATTACCACCTCGGTCACTGTCCTTGCCCGCTGGTCTGCAATGGGTACGGCATCTACCCAACGTGTAGCATGTTCCGTCATCACTAACAGGTACTGGTTACCGCTCGCCGTCTGTGGAAACGGTCCCATCACATCCACCGACCATAGATCACCGACTGCGGTTACTGGGATTGACTGTAATGGCGGTTGTGTGTATCGATCGCTTTTCATTAGCTGACACTGCTGGCAGGTTAACACGTATTCAGCCACATCGTCTCTCATGCTCGGCCAGTATGCACTTTGTCGTAGTAAGTCCGTCGTTCTTGCGATGCCTGTATGTGCTACCTGGTGACACTCGTGTATCACTTTGCGCCGCCAGTCTTTCGGGATCACCGCCACCCAATTCTCATCATCGTCCTGCCAGGTCAGCACTCCATATGAGTTCACTCTCAGTCGTTCCTTTTGCCGAAGCAGCGTTATTACCTCCTTGTCCATTGTTCGTTTATCTACGTCTGCTCCCTCTTTTATCACTCTGATTACCTCTCGAAGGTTAGGGTCAGCTTTCTGCTGCCGGACGAGTTCTAATGGGTCTCCCTCTAAACTATTCACCGCGTATGCTGTTAATGGCAGGTCGGCTTCCATGTCTGGTCTTGACAAGTAATCTGCCATTACGTTTTCTTTTCCTGGAACATGGCCGATACTGAAATCGTATTCTTGCAGGCGTATCATCCATCGCGCCAACTTCCCTCGGGGGTCTCTTGCTGTTTTCAACCACTGCAGGGGTTTATGGTCGGTCTCAATGTGAAATCGTCTACCTAAAAGGTATGGTCTCCATTTTTCCACTGCCCACACGATCGCTAAACACTCCTTTTCGATGGTTGAATACTTCTGTTCAGCAGGTGTGAGGACGCGACTCGCGTATTCCACCACTCTATCAGCCTGACTCAACACAGCACCTATACCATGATCACTCGCGTCTGTGGCCACTGTAAACAGTCTTCCCGGTTCAGGCAGTCTGAGCGTCATCTGGCGATCGTCTAGCATGTTTTTGATTCGGTTGAACGTTTGTTCGGCAGTCTCAGTCCACGTAAACTTGGTGCTGCTTAATAACTTATATAAGGGTGCTGCTATTTCGTTGAAATTCTTGATAAACCGACTGTAGAACGCCGCTCTTCCCAGGAACTGTCTCAACTTCCTTTTCGAATTAGGTACTGCAATATTTTTTATGGTAAGAATTTTCTCCGGCAATGGTTTTATTTCTCCATTTCCCACTTTATGTCCCAACAATGTGACGCTACTTCTCGCTATCTGCGACTTGTCCTTATTAATCCGAAGTCCAAATTCGTCAATTCGCTTTAAGACCGCTTCCACATGCTTGATGTGATCTGTTTCTGTTTGACTGTACACAACTACATCGTCGCCATATACCTCGACATTATCTAGATTCTTGAGCAGTAGTGTCATTAATCTTCTGAACGTGAACGGTGCACCCGCCAACCCGAACGGCATTCGTTTAAATTGATACTGTTTATCACGTACAGTAAACGCTGTCTTGCTTCGATCACTCTGTTTTATAGGCAGTTGCCAATAACCTGACCGTAAATCCAGCACTGTAAACACCGTGGCATTCTGTAGCCGATCTAATGTTTCCACCACTGTTGGCATTGCACAAGGCTTCAGGTCTGTTATATTATTCAATTCTCTGAAGTCGACACAAAATCTATACTTTCCATTTGGTTTCTTTACCAAGAGTACCGGCGAGCTATATGGACTGTCCGCTTCCTCAATTATACCTTCTTTTAACATTTCCTGGACCTGACGATTTACCTCGGCCTCTAAATGCACCGGGACACGACGTGTTGCAAATATATTTACTCGACTGTTCTTTATCGGTATTTCGTGCTTTACTCTGTCACAAAATCCATACGGCTCCCCATCTCCAGTGAATAGTTTCGCATACTTTTTGCATAACTCGTGAATGTTTGTTTCTTTGACGAGACATCCGCTGCAACTCTTATTTCAGCCACTTCGCTACTTTCGTGTATTGTCAATGAACCATATTTCGTGACCACCTTACCGCTTCTTAAGTCAACTATCGCTTTTACTTCTCTTAGGAAATCTGCTCCTAATATCGGTCTCGATAAGCTTGTGGTTACGACGAACGGAAAATTTATCTCAGCATCCCCCACTTTTACGATACTGTTAGATACGCCAAACACCTCTAACATATGGCCCCCTATCGTGTGGACAGCTAATGTACACGGCTTGATTCTCTTACATTGCTCTTTGCCTATTAACGATACTGCTGCACCTGTATCGATCAGACAAACTAAATCTCGCTCATTTATGTTCACTCTCGTATATACTGCCCCTCTGTCTACTAACGCAACAATCCCCAGATTCCTAGGATAGAAAGAACACTCGTTGTAACGTCTAACATATCTGCGTCTTCGTCTTGTTGGACAGTTTATCTTCCAATGTCCTGTCCCTCCACAAGCGTAACATTTATCGTTCCTTTTATTGTTCACTCGTATTGCTGCAATCTCACGCTCCAGCTCCTCAATCTTCTTCTCGACATTACTCATCTCCTGCTTTTCGCACCCGACCGGAGCTACTGTTCGCGTCATCAGCTGACGAGTCACCTTAGCCAGTTCACTGATATCCACTCCCACCAGCTCCGCCACGGCCTCAAACTCCTTCAGGAAGCTCAGCACATCCCCGTCCTCAAACTCCTCCGGCCATGGAATCTTCATCCTTAGTGGAGGCAGCGACACCGAATGTAGTGAAGAAGAACGCAGGTGAGGACAGCCAAATTGTATTTAGGACAAATTACAGAATTACTTGGTAAAATAGAAAAACCATATAGTAAATCGTTAATTTGCAAAATATCATTCTATCATATCAAACCGGACTGTTGCTGTTGCAAACATCAATCCATTGTCTCGCATTTCATTGCTCATGCGATTTCTTACAAATTCCATTGTTTTCTCGCTCTTCTTTTCTTGATCTTCTCCATCTTCTGCTGCCAGACATTACGTTCTTTTGACTCACGTTATATACTACTTATATCAATATAAGTAGCACGCACCACACAAGCACTGGTACAGTTGGTTATAATAATAATTGTTTTTATTAAACCAGTCGTGTTCTCGTGATAAAAGTGAGTCACTACACGACTGTCGAGTACCAGTAAATGTCTTCTACTTTTAACAGTGATTTTTCACAACCACAATGAAGAACAGAGTAAACTTCTGGACAGTAGTATCATCCTTTGTTTGCCAGACAGACATCTCGCCGACACCACTAGTAATGTGAACTGGAAAAGCTAGTTCAGGCTTATAATCCTATGTCAAGATTTCTTCAGACATCAACGCATCAAGTATGACGTGGATTTCGAGATATGTGATGTAGTTCACACGCCTAACTGCTTCATTCGCTGTTATTTTTCGGACGTTGATGTTGACCAGCTCTGAAGAAATACTTTACATATGCAAAGGGAAGCACGTTCCAGACATAGATTCATTGTTGTTCAGGATGTTCGGAAGACTCTGAATTCTCTCAGCGTCTCCGTCAAACAGGACTATATCATCAACGTATTTTAAGTCAACAGTGGATCTTCTGGTACAACATTAAGTCCAGGTAAGTCCGGTGATGGAAGCGTTATCCTTAGAACAATGTCTATGGCAAATTTGAACGAAAATACTGAAAAGGGAGAGCCTCGATAAGCACCAGTTGGTACTATCACTCCTGATGACAATTCATCATGAACTATTACTTGAACAGTAGTATTCGAGTACAGAACCAGCACAAAGTTGATTCGCTTCCTCGGTACTTCTTTCAATGACAAACACAACCGTAAAACTTAAAGATGAATAGGGTGAAATACTATCACAGTCGAGTGTCGATAGGGAGTTTTATTTTCTAGGCCGTAATGAAAGATGGATGTTTGGTTAGTGAGCATCTCGTGTTCTTCATACAAGCTATCATTTACATAATGGCGACTGAGTATTTAAAGTATTTCACAGGATTGCGTGTTTGTGTTGACTGTCGGAATTCCCATATCTGTCCAAGGCATTCTCCCATATTTGCCAACAAACCAGCATGTAAATACATAAGAATAGGCGCAAATGTCCTCCACTGAATACAAAAAAGCCATCAATCATGTTCTAAACAATTATCAGTAATTATACACGACGCAGAAAGCTGCATCGTTTTCACTGGGTCACTTGACTGGCATAAGAAGATTATGAACAACCTAATCAACGAGTTTAAATCTCCAATTATGGCAGACTAAGTATAGGTTCAAGTTAAATATAATTTCACAGGAACAAATTGCTAAGTAACGTAAGAAGAGAAAACAACGTTGTATAGCACTTCAATCTTTGAATAGTCAAAATCAAATCAAGATGTAAGAAAGCTATTTTTACTTAAAACATTACATTACATTGGCTTTAATATGAATTATGGTTCTTATAAGCTTATTTACAAGAGGCTTTGAATATTTTATTCATGAATTATATCATTGAAAGTTTTATTTATGTAAACTATTTACCATCGAATAAACCTTTAATTATTATTTTTATTGAAATTACTACAATTCAATGTCTTATGAAAGAATCAATATCATTGTCTACATAGAAAACTAACAAAAATTCTGACTATTTGACAAGTAATTCAATATATTTACGTAATCAATCATATTCATGGCATCAGACGTATTATCATTTCTAGAAAGATAAAACTAAAGAAATAATTTTATTACAACTTCAATAGATGATTCAGTATAATGAAATGTTCTTTGAAATAATACTTGACGTAATATTCCAGTATATGCGTTTTAAATTAAATAATTACAATTAGTGAATTTTATTGATAGTTAACATATAAGATAAGAAATTATTAAAACATATCTCCAATATAATTGACAATATCATCTGATTTTGTCACTTCTCCTACTTCACCTTCTCTTACATTATGAAGATTGTTTAATTCAGCAGCTTTTAATTTGGAATTTTGTTTCTTCATCACGAATGGTAATAATCTATTTATAAAAGAATGTAACAAAGATATTGGTATATTCGACAGAAATGGATGATAGTTGGCCAGTGTAACTAGTTAACTGAAGTTGAAAGTGAGAACTAATGAATACCAACTGTATAATCTAAAAGTAACTCACTTGTTGCTAGTGTTTGAGTCAGTGGTTCCAGTTCCTGGAGGGTTGATCGATGCACTCGGTTGAATGGTTCCAAACTAGCATAAATGTTCATTGATCACTGGTTACCGATAGGTGTCCTACTAATTTCATTCCATTATGTGAACCATCTTCAAAGATTATATTTCTCTAATTACTAATGAACACAATCTAGTCAAGTGAAGAGCAAGCTAAGTGGTTGATAAACGTAGTGTTTGGTGTAATTCTATGAGTGGTAGCAGATGACTTTGTGGGTCACATGCAAATTTATACGTCATTTAGTCTTAAAGTGTACATCGTCTAACTATATGTGTCAGGTTAATTTATGTTTATTGTTGGACGTTTTCTTTTTAGACTAGCTTAGCTAATACCAGTCGTGGTTTTGTCAAGCCTGAGTAGATTGTCAATGTTACTACAACTTTACACAAATTATCTAATAATTACGTAGTACAAAGTTCCTTTCAATAAAAACTTCATGCGACATTTAAGCATCTGTCGATAAAGATGGAAACTTCATACAACCAGATCCCTTGGTCAATTTAAACATAGCAAGAACAACAAAGTTTACAGAATAAAATGAGTTCATTCTATTCCACAGTTTTTCATCACTCGCATACAACCTCAAATTACAATCGCGAATATAAATTCTGTAAACATTGTTGTCCTTGCTCTGTTTCAAGACTGAACCATTTCCAAAAATCTCACATTATTTTATTAACTGCTAAGACTACTGAAAGATGTGGTTGTTTTATCTGGTTGTTGGGTTAGTTAACGTGAATTATTTTAATCAGTTTGGGATTCAAAATATGTATGGAGTTTCTAGTATTCTCCTCTTATGCTTTTCTAACATCTTAATTCTTTGGAAGCATTTATGTCATATGGTTTACCGATGAATAGTCACATCTAGAGATTATTTTATATCGGCTACTGAAAACAAGACACCACACGTTAGTCATTTCTCATCTCATATGAAAAATTGTGTATCATCGAACCATTGAGTTCAAATCTAGTTGTCTTCGTTTTCAAGTTTTAAATCATGGTGTAGTGACTCACATTTATCACGAGAACACGACTGGTTTAATAAAAACAATTATTATTATAACCAACTGTACCAGTGTTTGTTTTAATGTGCTTTTGTTTGACTGTGCTAATGACAGCTATTTTGTGCTTCCATTCTTATTCTTACACTTTGATTGTGACTTTGCGCGAATTCAGTTACGTTCTGTGACCAAGCTTGTATCCTGGCACGATCTCGGTATCCTTTCGATACCACGAGATCGCCAGCAAATATATCTCGACTTGGTCCATTAACTGCCTTCTGATATTTGGCTTCCGGGAGGATTTTTTGGAGTCATTTGGCACGTGATTCTTGGTAGTGGTGTTCATAGGTAATCTCAACTCGACGCCACGCTACAATGGTATGAAAACTAATTTTCCCAGATGAATGTATGTGCATTAATAAACAGTTTATTTCGTATTCAACGGTAAGCATACCCTGTATGTTCTACACATCAGACGTTTATACTTTGGGAATATTTTTATCTCGTTCGTTTATATTATCATTGGCAAAAATTGTTTACACATCAATTGTGTGTTTTTCACACCGAATTTTATTTTATACAGGGAAATTCACATCATCTTTAAGCTACTTACAAGTCAATAATTAGTGTTATTGCCATTATTATGACAACAACGATGAATACTGTTCCTGGAAATGTCAGTACTGTTCCAGCATACATTGCAGGAAGTGCTGTTAGACTGATGAGTAAACCGATTCGAGAGACAAATGCGGCAATCGATTGCATAATGCCTGAAATATAAAATAAGCGATTATATTTTATCATATAATAAATTATATTCAACAGCTTAATGAAAGAATATCTGTGCACCTAGTTATCTTTCATAACTTCTGTATATAATGAACAATTGTTTATGAGTATCTGTCATATTCTGTCTTCATATTTTAAGTTTGGAATCAATGATCAAATTTGGTTCATATTGCATAAGTAAAAATTTACTGTGTGGAAGAACTTCTGGTGTTTTATTTCACTTCACTTAAATCACTCCCAATTAACAATTTTCTACTTGAACTATGTAAGTAAATTAAAGCAATTGAAATAAATTATTTACCTTGTATACTTGAATGGACACTAATGGAAAGCATTGTTCGAATTATTGGAACAAGGAAGCTTTTCATCAATCTGGGAATGGAAGCTAAAATTTGAAAAATATTGAACTTTAATAACAGTTTAAACATTATAAAGAATATAGTTTACGTGAAAAACTGACGTCCATCAGACTTGAATCTGGACATTAAAATAATAGTATGATAATCCAAACTCCGCGCGGGGTCCCTTCGGGGGCTACTGCTTCTCCCAAGACCGGATAAAGGAAGAGGGTTAGGCATGGGGTTAGCGTCCTCATCCCGTAGAAAACTAACTCGCTAAAAAAACGCTAACCAGAAAAAATTATTCAAACCTTTTAAACTCTGCCCTGGGAGTCAGAAGGTCTTCATTTAGAAGAACTATGACGCCTCATGATGAAAGCCGAATTCCTTCGGAAGTTACGAGGCCGATGCCCCTTCTGACAACCAGAGCGACCATTTATTTAGGTACATGGAATGTTCGTACAATGTGGGACACCGGGGAGCCTTCCAAATTGCTGCAGAAATGAGAAGATACAACCTAGAGGTACTTGGGATCAGTGAAACACATTGGACACAAGTTGGACAACAACGACTAACTTCAGGAGAGCTCCTGTTATACTCCGGCCATGAAGAAGAAAATGCACCACATACACAAGGAGTTGCATTGATGCTGTCCAAACAAGCGCAAAATGCGCTTATAGGATGGGAATCTCATGGACCAAGGATCATCAAAGCCTCGTTCAAAACAAAGAAAGAGGGCATTTCAATGAACATCATCCAATGCTATGCGCCTACCAACGACTACAATGAAGACGCTAAAGATCAATTCTACAATAGGCTGCAGTCAATCGTCGAGAAGTGCCCAACAAAGGACCTGACCATTCTGATGGGAGATTTCAACGCCAAGGTTGGAACGGACAACACTGGATATGAAGACATCATGGGACGACACGGACTGGGAGAAAGGAACGAAAATGGTGAGAGATTTGCAAACCTATGTGCCTTCAATAAACTGGTCATAGGCGGCACCATATTCCCACATAAACGCATACACAAAACCACATGGACTTCACCGGATCACACCACGCAAAACCAAATCGACCATATTTGCATCAACAAAACGTTCAGGAGGACTATAGAGGACGTGAGAACCAAGAGAGGAGCTGATATAGCATCAGATCATCACTTGCTGGTCGCCAAGATGAAATTGAAACTCAAGAAGCACTGGACAACGGGGCGGACAATATCACAAAAGTTCAATACGGCCTTTCTTCAGGATACTAACAAACTCAACAAATTCAAGATAGTCCTCAGCAACAAGTTCCAGGCCTTTCATGATCTACTCAATGGAGAAGGAACTACTGTGGAGAGCAACTGGAAGGGGATCAAAGAGGCAATCACTTCAACATGTCATGAGGTCCTGGGTCACAAGAAGCACCATCACAAGGAATGGATCACTGTTGATACACTGGATAAGATTCAAGAAAGGAGGAACAAGAAGGCAGCAATCAATACCAGCCGAACAAGAGCAGAAAAAGCCAAGGCACAAGCTGAATACACAGAAGTAAACAAACAAGTGAAGAGGAGCATCAGAACCGACAAACGTAAATATGTGGAAGATTTAGCAACGACGGCGGAAAAGGCTGCAAGAGAAGGAAACATGAGACAACTGTATGACACGACAAAGAAACTCTCTGGAAATCGCCGCAAACCAGAACGACCAGTGAAAAGCAAGGAAGGCGAGGTAATCACCAACATTGAAGAGCAACAAAACAGGTGGGTAGAACACTTCAAAGAACTCTTGAATCGACCAGCTCCACTGAACCCACCCAACATCGAAGCAGCACCCACGGACCTCCCAATCAATGTTGGCCCACCAACAATTGAAGAAATCAGCATGGCCATCAGACAAATCAAGAGTGGCAAAGCAGCAGGACCAGACAACATTCCAGCAGAGGCACTAAAAGCAGACGTAGCGGCAACTGCAAGGATACTCCACATTCTCTTCAATAAGATTTGGGATGAGGAACAAGTACCAACAGACTGGAAAGAAGGACTTCTGATCAAAATACCGAAGAAAGGCGATCTCAGCAAGTGTGATAACTACAGGGGCATCACTCTTCTCTCAATACCGGGAAAAGTCTTCAACAGGGTATTGTTAAACAGGATGAAGGACTGCGTAGACGCCCAACTTCGTGACCAACAGGCAGGATTCCGTAAGGATAGATCGTGTACAGACCAAATCGCAACTCTACGGATCATTGTGGAACAATCAATTGAATGGAATTCATCACTCTACATCAACTTCATTGACTACGAAAAGGCATTTGATAGCGTGGACAGAACAACACTATGGAAACTTCTTCGACACTACGGCGTGCCTCAGAAGATAGTCAATATCATACAGAATTCCTATGATGGATTACACTGCAAAATCGTGCATGGAGGACAGTTGACAAAGTCGTTCGAAGTGAAGACCGGTGTTAGGCAAGGTTGCTTACTCTCACCCTTTCTCTTTCTCCTGGTGATCGACTGGATCATGAAGACGTCAACGTCTGAAGGGAAGCACGGGATACAATGGACATCTAGGATGCAGTTGGACGATCTAGACTTCGCAGATGATCTGGCCCTTCTATCCCAAACGCAACAACAAATGCAGGAGAAGACGAACAGTGTAACAGCAGCCTCAGCAGCAGTAGGTCTCAATATACACAAAGGGAAAAGCAAGATTCTCCGATACAACACAACATGCACCAATCCAATCACAATTAATGGAGAAGATTTGGGAGATGTAAAAACCTTTACATATTTGGGCAGCATCATTGATGAACAGGGTGGATCTGATGCAGATGTGGAGGCGCAGATCGGTAAAGCAAGAGCAGTATATTTACAATTGAAGAACATCTGGAACTCAGAGCAACTGTCAACCAACACCAAGGCCAGGGTTTTCAATACAAATGTCAAGTCAGTTCTACTTTATGGGGCGGAAACCTGGAGAACTACGAAAGCCATCATCCAGATGATACAACTGTTTAATAATAGCTGTCTACGCAAAATACTCCTGATCCGTTAGCCGGACACTATCAGCAACAACCTACTATGGGAGAGAAAAAACCAGATCCCAGCGGAGGAAGAAATCAGGAAGAAGCGCTGGAAGTGGATAGGACACACATTGAGGAAAGCACCCAACTGTGTCACAAGGCAAGCCCTCACACGGAATCCTCAAGGCCAATGGAGAAGAGAATGACCAAAGAACACATTACGTCGAGAAATGGAAATAGACATGAGAAAAATGAACAAGAATTGGATGGAACTAGAAAAGAAGGCCCAGGACAGAGTGGGTTGGAGAATGCTGGTCGGCGGCCTATGCTCCATTAGGAGTAACGGCGTAATTACGTAAGTAAGTAATGATAATCCAGCGGTCTTGAGGTTAAACACTTGACCATTCACATGAAGGACTTTACATACCTATTTACAAGTGATGCGAATATATATAGTTGAGGTTCCCTATAATTGGACGAAGCAGACCTCTTGTGATGATTATTGGTTTCAATAGTTGTTTAACCAAGATAAATCTCTGCGATTAACAGAAATATTCAACTCGCATTTATTGGCATTGTTCTCAGACCTATTTTTTAATGCCTATTAACGATATGTGATAAATATTTATTTCGACTGACAGTGTGAATGGCGTTAACAACAGAGTCATGTAAAAGACAGGTCGATTAGTCTATTCGACTCACAGCTATTCGATCGGTGTCAGCAAATCAGTAGAATTGGCAACCAAGAGTTTTGTGTTGCTTGAGTATAGAGAATGAAACAGTAACGCTTTGAGTGTTGTAATGAACTGAATTTCTATTTGACTACTGTGTGAGAGTTCCTAAATCTTGCCTGATCAAACTAGAGAGACGACAATACTGCTCATGAAGCTGGGTTGCCAAAGATCTGAAATAAATATTGACAACTCATTTGTACTTATTCATTGTCAGATTAGTTCGGAGAAGAGCATATAACAGTTTTTGCTTGAACAATAGAAGTTGAACATAAAGATAATTAACATTTGATCAAGATGATCAGTGATATTCTGATCTCCGAAAAGTTTGAAATCTCTACATCTCGTGCAGACTGTCTTCGTGAGTACACTATGGGTAATGCTCGAAAACGTTGGATGGAACAGTTGTTTAATGGTTCAGTGTTTTCAGTGATTTTTTTGCCTTGTTATAACCATTGTTAGAAACTGTTATGACAGTCAACTTATTTTTGAGAACCATCTTAGTAAAAAATGACATATTTTTAATTTAAATAAAGGATCCAAACATCTTGGAGCGATTCACCTGAATTTGTGTATACTTATTATCTACGCTAAATCTGGAAATCGTTACGATAATTAATTTGTCTATATTTATATTGGTGTGACGTTCATTAATCAGACGAGAGCATGATTTAGACTAGAAATGATGGTGGATGATTTCGTTACATTGTAATGTTTTATATAATTTCTGATATTTCTTCTAATGCTACCTAGACAAACAACAGATAAATTAACAACTATCATCAGTCACCTGAAACCGAAGTGTAGTGTTATGGTTTATTCGGAATTGCATGTGCATGCTGATGAGACCATACTTGAAATCTAATATGATTCAAGGGTGATATGGTCACTTATGAACTCCATTGTTTGTAATGAGAGTGATGAACGAAATATGGATTTTGTTAACTTGGTAAATAATATTTCGACTAACCAAATTTATATTAATCAGCCGAATTTATAGTGAAGACGGATATATATTATCATGTATTGGTATGAACAGATAATCTGTGAGAGAAATGAATAGATGAAGCATGGGTTTCGAGTATTTTCTAACTCCTTAAATAACGTAATCTATCACGTTTTTACAAAGTTATGAATTTATCACGATTAATGGACGAAGTCTCGTACCATGTTGACTTATTAAATGGTTGTAAATTCGTCTTAGTATTTATATTTTTTCAAGCATATAAACAACCTGTACAAGGAATTTGTGAAAAAGTATTGCACTCCCAGTCTCATGTTTAAATCCATAAATAGCACATCAGTTTAATGTTCCCCATACACAACTGACAGAATTAGTTTGTGACTGAGTTTCAAATGTAAGAACAGTAGATACATAAATTAATATGACTTAGTTTTAAATGTATCCAATTCATTGGTAAAACAAAAACAGCTCTCAGCATTTAAGTCATGTGTTTAATTGAGTTCGAGTGATTGATAGATGTATTTATTGATGATAAAATTCAAAGCATGAAACATTTACCGATATAAATTAAAATATTTGCAGTTGGTAGTTGAAATCGATGAGCTACTCCGACTACTGAACGATTCACCATTAACATTATAACTGATGCAGCAAAAACTGTAATAAGTAAATGCATTTGACGTGTATAATGATTTCGATCACTGTTGTTTGTGGTACTTTGTTCTGTGAGATCTTTGGCCTTTCGCTTTTCGTCAAATTTGATAATTAGAATAGTACAGATAATTGAAATGAAAGCTGATATCACATCAGTTATGCCACTACAGAGTATTCAAGAAATGAAAAAGTGGAGATGTGAAGATGAAATTATTATTTCAAGGTAAGTCTGATGCTTCAGCTACTCACTCACTTATAATGTGATGTTTCTGTTTATGATACTGAATGATGAGTGTTTCAATCCAATGGAAACCATCATTTCGCTGAAGAATCCAGGTACGCCTAACATATAAATATCTGGTCTATCGGTGCTTTTGATACATGTGTGGTTGCACCAGAGCGTATGACAGTGACATATGGATTGGTGAGAGCCTGAATGAAGTTTAGTTCAACTGGAAATTAGTACAATGATCAGTCATACTATTTCAGAGTATAAGCTAAAGCTAGAGAGTGGTTTTCTAGTAATTGAATAGTGTGACATTCAACTAGTCGGTAAGAGGATGGAATTCGATTACACATAATCACGTTTAGAGGAACGTATAGAACGAGCTGTTCTTATATACCCACTATGACCTAATGCAAGGAACATAATCGTGCACATGTTGATAAGTTGAAACGTTGTTCAATGGACATATTATAAATTAGAAAGGAAGTGATAAACATTTCAGAGATGTTTTTCATAATTCGTACTATACCAAACAAAAATTTTCATAATTAACATTGTGATGCTTTAGGAATGTGACGAAAGGGGCATCAGAACAGTATGAATTGTTGAATCATAGAAGCACATTATATCAATTAACTGGAAATTCGTACACTAAATCCAGGGTTAGAGAATAATAGTTATCTAATTTGCTTTAATGTTTGATTAATTCTAATCATGTGAGTTGCAGATGACTTCTTTTTATGTGATTAACTAAACATTGAAATCAGTGAATCCAAACAAAACATCTTACATTTGTTCTGGAATCCATTTATTACTCCCTTGAAAAGTGAATTGTCAATCTAAAATAGATGCATACTGTTTATGCAAGTGCTCTTGTGTTAAGCTACACACATGTTTCGTCGGAAGCTGTGTAGTTTGAAGCGATTTCGAATGAGTTGGCAAAGCTAAACAAACGCTCATTCCATTTAAATTATCGTTGTCTGTCAACAGTGTCAGATACTTAATAAGTTCCGTTACTCTTGTCAAGCCTAAATCAATTTGGTGTGCATGAGAGAATAAAACACCTAGTTTATTCTCACAACAATGAAAATCTCGTGCAATTTTTCTTTCTGTCTAGCTACTTGTTGCGAATTTGTGTATCATTTTAGTATATACAGTTTTGTTATAATAATGCTTAGTGAAACTAAATTGATTTGTAAGTTTGAGACAAATGCAAGTGCATCAATCGATATGACTGAATATATTGAGGTTATTGTCCACTGCTGAAAAGCAATTGACTGAGTAAATAATTTGCATATTTGACTGAGAATTGTTTGCTTTAAGAGGAACTGTTGTAAAATTACAGAAACCAAATATATCATCTGATTTGAATTCGAGTGAAATACTTACGAATATAGTCCAACGGTTTCTGGACTCCACAAGAATGGAGGTCCCATCAAATAAACAGCAACATACTGTAAGTCCGCTAAAGCTGACACTGAACCAAGTAGAACCATTGACAGAATCATAATCACCACAGGATCTAAATTTTTCAGACGCTGAAAAGTAAACAAATTATGGACTAGTTAAGACGGATTGTTCTCATGCACGTTTGACACGAAACGTTGACGAGTTATGAGATTTGTTGCGTAAATCTCCATCAGTCATGCAGAAAGAACTACACATTAATTATTACGCAGTGACATTCGTTTATTCTTCACCCAAGTTTATAAATGTAGAAAATCGCATGAGATCACGTTTGGATTAGTTAGTGATTTAGGTGAGTTTAATATATATTGCATATATGATACAGAATAAGTAGAAACGTTTTTGGATTTCATAAGTAATTGATTATTGATTGCATAATGTTCATATGCAGATAAGTGAGAACGTCATTTTAAATTGATTTCTGATGAAAATCTCACTAGTTGTTTATGTTCAGAACAGACATGACTTTTCTTTTGAAATCTATTGACCTTTATCAAATGATCATGATGTAGATGTCAACTTATCTGGTTTCTGTTTACATGCTTCGAATGATTTTATTGATTCGGTAATTTATTGATAAACAGATTAAGATGAAGGGTCACTGAAGTTCTGATTTATTATGCATGGTAGTCATGGTATTCAGTTTTGCACGATATGACATGAGTGACACAGAAACATTTGAAAATAGTTTTAAGAAGTAATTATGATGATTATTATGATTGCGATTTCTGATACAGTTATTATCATTCTACGGCTTACACAGTGAGATAATGTACTGATTCATCTATCCAGTCAGTTGTCTTGTAAATATGAAATGATCCTTCCTCGAATATATCACGGACCGATTAGTGACGTATGACAAGTTATTTAACACTTGTCGGTTCTATCGAGTTTGGTTGCACTAATTTTCCATGGAAAATTGACACCAACCGATAAAGGAAATGGACGAAATGAACAATGTAATACTCTATCATTCTAGTATGAGACTTCACAGAGGTGGATGCACGCAACCACACTGGAGGTGAAAACCTGTAATTTCAATACTGAGTTTGTTTGCTATGTTTTCAATGCATTGAGTTTGGTTCGAGTAAGTCAAATTTTCTACTGCATTCAGGTTGTGATATAACTCAACTGGAGTCACATGTTCCATCCAGTAAGTGATGGTGAGTATCGTTTATTGATTTGATTGAAATGAAGACAGAACTGTTGGTTATTATCGCCTAGTTTGAAAATCTCCATTACTCTCCATCTATCAGACCACGGTGTATTCAGTTTTCAACTTGAACTAATATTAAACCACTGATGAGAGTTCACTTTTATTGACATATCGCAAGCACTATTCAATAAAAATACCTAATGTGTTCACAAGTGTAGAAATATCCCAATGAAATACGTTGTGGGAATGCGCATAATATTGTGTATGGATAGCTTGCTAACCCATATGATCAGTAATATATTACGTTACCATTCCTGAATGGCCATACATTTTATCTTTAGAACACCATAGAAATGTTATTGTAATGATACACTAACAAAAGACAAGAAACATAATAGCTGAGAAAATAAATGTCAATCGACTAACTTGAAATGCATCTGTCACTTTACTTGTTAACGTCTTTTCAAATTCCATTGGTATACTACGAGTATCTTCATTTGGATCATCATTGTTTACTTCATCAAAAGGCTTTTCGTCCTGTACAACAGTTGGTTTGCTTTTGTTTTTATGCGTCTCCGGTAAACAGAATATTAAAATTAAGCTCGGAACAAGTAAACCTAGTGATGTGAACATGGCTACTTGAAATCCATAGTGATAGATTAAAGCTCCTAATAAGGGGAATAGAAAAACACGTTATTTCAAGCGACCTATGTTTGAAATTCATAATTACATATACATAAACTGTATACTGTTTTCGATGTAATTTAGTTACTTTGAAAGATAATCGATTTCAGTCGAACGAAACTGAACGCGCAATAATTGAATTTATACATTTTTAAATGAAAAATGATTTCCGCTAGAGATAATATTAGTAATTCTGTATATGAACTGGTGGACAGAAGGTTAATTGCTTGAATCGTCTTACGTGAATCTAATTGAAAAGACTTTGAAGTGCTTTTACTAGGAAATTCGTTATTGTATGGGAAAAAAATCAAATGAAATCCGTTCAGTTAATGTTCAGAACAGAAGATGGATTACACTAGAAATAATGTCCGAGATATTGTCGTTGTCTACAATGTATCTCATTGAAATGAAGTCGAAAATCTATAATTCAGCTAAATACTAATGTCTGTATTTCTTTCACATATTCATGAAATAAGTGTTAATAATTTTGTCTAGAATGATATTGAAATCTTTGTAATGAAACCATTGAGATCAGATGACATAATGCAGCCAAGATACTTAAACGTTTTGCTAAAATTTAATTTATAATTAATGATATATAAGCTTTTGTTAAAATATCAGTGTAAAATTTTTAAAACTTATTTCTCAATTAACCTCCAATCGGTGATCCTGCTGATACGCATAATGCAGCTATTCCATCAAAAATTGTAAATAATATCCACATTTGTTTATCAGAGGACTTTACATTCTTTTTATCTGTCTTTTCCGTTGAATACTTCATGGATAGATGACAAACATCTACTTGGATAGCCGCAACCTGAGCAAAGAGTGATAAAAGACCACCACCGAAAATTGCTTCCAAAAGTCCAGGAGCAAAATCAGCCACATATTCAGCTTCAACAACACAATAAGACCTGAATCAATAAGTAATTGAAAACTTGAATTACTTCAATTTAATTGAATGTAGATTGAGGTTGTTTACAATACAATTGATTCGAAACAAGATTAATTTCAGTGTATTTTAAACTTTATAACAATGTTACATCAAATGTATGGTCTGAAGTGGATTTTAGGTCATAGCTTTGTATTAGTGAGGTGTGTGCTATTGATGTCGACAGATATAAGTAGTATGCATCACAAACCGGAAGTGAAATTCCTGGTGGCAGAAGTTTAAGAATACCGAAGAGAAGATAACTAGGACAGAGAGGAATTGGTGTGAAAACGAAGGGACAATCAATTCTGAGACAAGTGACTTATATTGTGCGAAAGAAGTACCGATTGTATGGTTCTTAGATTTTGCCAAGATATTCTGTTATGTTGCGCAGAATTACGTTTGGTTTTCCCTCACCTGTGTTCTTGTTCACAACATTAGTTTCTCGCTTACATAATACAGAAATCCAAGGGTCACTATACGTTTCATGATAACGCACTGTGAATTGGTAAAAATGTATTGCGTTGCATTCAACTCAGTCAGTCAGCTACAACGTAGGACCAGGCACATATATGCATTCAACTGATCGCAATGATAGTTGACAAGTATTTCATATGACAATGAACAAGTATTATCATACAAATATGTTGAGGAAGTATTCTGATGTGTTGCTTGTTCTCCTCCACGAGGGGTAACAAGCGTAAGTATGCTGACAAAATGAATGCAACTATTGTTTGTAAAACGAAGTATATCAACCTTATTTCAAGATTTCCAAGTACCTAAAAATAGAATTAAATTAGAAACAATATTGTTATTGGGAAAAAGAAGAATTAACATAATTAGTTTGATGAATTTAAGGTGTATGTTTGAAAGGGGAGAGTACATTGTGATTGCATAAACATAACACAATGTAATACTGAACACTCTATAAACATGTTTATGCTTATGTTTCTTTAAATTTAACAAATAGACCTTATGTACAAAACAAATACTCTCTTTATTACAACTCAGAATGGATTTTACAATAGGATTATTCAAAACAAACTTTCATACACATAGTTCCCTTTATCATTTTGAAAAGAGCAAGAACAAAGATTGTAGCAGAATAGCATGAATTCATTTTATTTCGTAGGTTCTCGTCAGCTGCTTACAACCTGTGATATTTAAAAATCATAATTACATTATGGGTTTAAATTGCTAACTGAATATTGTAAGTATATACCTAATGTGAAAGAATATTCTACAACATTAATTGTAACAACAGTTCACAAGTGGGTTAGAAACAATCGACTACATAATGAATAACTCTACTCACTACATTCCTTCAATGTTATTCATTATGTAATCGATTGTTTCTAACCCACTTGTGAACTGCTGTTACAATTAATGTTGTAGAATATTCTTTCACATTAGGTATATACTTACAATATTCAGTTAGCAATTTAAACCCATAATGTAATTATGATTTTTAAATATCACAGGTTGTAAGCAGCTGACGAGAACCTACGAAATAAAATGAATTCATGCTATTCTGCTACAATCTTTGTTCTTGCTCTTTTCAAAACAACTTTGTCTAACACTGCAAAACAATTGTGATTTCAGACCTTGGTAATTTGAATATGCGTATACTATATTAAACAAAATTGAGGTTGATTTGTCACATTACCTCAGACCAAACCAAATAAGAGACGTTAATCCTAACATTCTGTAGGATTTTTTTATATTTAAATACTCTGATGTAAAGCATATAATAACGTTCTATAAAAAGTGTATACTACTTACCAGTTACACCAACATGCAAGACCTCACCGACTAATAAAATTCCAAACGCTGCTCGACGACCGTATCGATCAGACAAATAACCCACTAATAAAGTGGTAATCAATCCAATTGTTATGCGAACTGAGTTTGAAGCCGCTTCAAGAGTTGCAGCTTTTTTCTGAGCCAACTTCAGTTTATGTTTATCCACATCTGATCTGTATTGAAACGCATCGATTGATATAAGTGAAATAGTTTTCAATAGAATCTAATCTTATCATAAGAGCACATTTAAATTTCGTTTACGGTTGTGCTGATTGAATTACAATATTACCAAACAATTGTTGGCAAATTTTCAATCCGAATTACTGTGTTTGTGAATGTACTTTAATGGGGTACAATAAAGAGATAGGTTGTTGAGAAATACTAAAGATAATTTGTATGTAACCCGATGGTATCACTTAGGACAATAAGATTGATTAATTTGCATTGAATGTTTCGATGAAATTAAAAGACTGAATAATTTACCTTAATGATACTTATCAGAACATGTGTTGTGATTACACTATATTATGTTTTATTAGAGGCCCTATATCTGACTCCAGGTAAATCGTATGAATGATTGTTCTTGAAATGTACATGTCACTAATCTTCGTATATAATCATCGACTCAAATTGCATTGGTGAACAACGGAATTAAATAAGTCGAATACAAGAATGGATTTTTGAATATGTAAATTTCATACAATCGTTGACCGGGAAGTGAAGTAAAACACAATGACGCGTGATGGAGAAGGAGAGTGAGCCAACTCAATTTGACCGAGCATGAATCAATATTTATAGCCCCCCAATTGCCCCGGTATGGTTGAGAGCAGGGTGAGCCCGCCCTCCCTCTCGAAATGCTCTCACACCGCCACACGTATAAAGCTTCTGCCAGGGAAGTCCTGCTCACTGTCTTCTCGTGACGTGGGTGTTGTTTACGAAAATGAGAGGACGAAAAGCGAATGTCCGGCGCCTTAACCGGATTCCAAACCAATGGTGCACATGGGCTCTAGTATCCTCAGGAACAAATGACGTATGAACTAATTTTTAATTACCGGCCACCACGGGACTGCATCTCCTCACAATGCTCCCCTGCTTTGTGGATCAGACCTTAGGTCAAAGGCTCGTAGTGTCGCCCACTATGAAAACCACCTGCTTCGGTCTGAGCACTCGGGCAGTATCACAGCCCACACATAAACAGAATGAAATGACGATACTTGCGGAAAATACTATTCTTGCTTCCATTAACAGTCAAACGATTCATATTATTATTATTATTTAATACGTCACTTATTCACTCTCTTTTATTCCCTTACTTTGTTTATCCTTATTTTTCGACTTATACAGCAGCTCGCTTATGGTGGAAATTCGGTTCTATCTAAACGTTCTCGAGTCACTGACTGGTTGAAAATTGAATGCTACCACAAAGTACGAACACTGAAGCAGTTTTTCTGAAACTACTACAAATTCGCTTTCCATTTTTCGCTTCAAAAAGCTTGTTTTACGTGCGTTTATCAGGGGACCTTGTGGTATCTTCGTCTGGTCTTGCTGGCGTTGAGGTCGTACTATGCGCTAGAGCCGAGGCAGCACTAATCGATTGGATCCCCATTAACAGTCAGTTATGTGATGTTAGATTAGAAAGTTCCATCAAAGTGAGAAGAAATCGGCGTGAGAAACGATGTCTTTTGTCATATCCGCCTATACCCCGACAGATTGCAGCCTGGATGCAATCAAGAATGAATTCTACCATCAGTCAACTGTTCTTCTCCAGAAAGTGCGTTCGACAGGCATTGTAGTACTAGTTGGAGATTTGAATGCTCAGGTCAGGCGTCTAGGCACTGAAGAGAACCGTTTAAGTGGCCGATGGGGACTTGTTGGTCACAAGACAGATAACGGAGACCGTCTACTACAACTGTGCACAGATCACAACCTGTTCCTGTTGAGCAATAACTTCCGGCACAGTCATCGCCGATGTGCCAGCAGGCGTTCTCCCTCTGCATCTCAATACTTGACTCAGATTGATCACATCACGATCAGCTACCGTTGGCGTGGTTGTGTACAAAGACTTCCACTTTTTTTTGGAGTACCTACCTGAACTTTGATCATGCCATGATCTGCGACAATCTTACCTTACTTTTCAGTGGCCAACGAAGTGATCGCCACTAAAGGATTGATGTCAGCAAGTTGGTTGCAACTTCTGTTGCAGGTAATTATCGAACCGAGCTAGCTTCTAAGCTAGCTACCATTCCACCGAAAAGTGTAAATGAGCATTGGTTGCAATGACATGACGCCATGAAAATGGCAAGTAAATCCGCTTACGGCCTCGTGAAACACCCCGCTTATAAGCACTGGGTTTCTTCAGGCTTCTTACAACCCATCGAAGCCCGTCGGTCTACTCAGGATGACATTGAGTTTGACCACAAACGAAGTCTGTTACTAATGAAATCGGGCAAAGCTTGCGTAAAGACCGAGAAGCCTGGTGGTCGGAGCGTGCTAATGAGCTGGAAGCAGCAGCTGCATCTGGTAACTACCGGAAGCTCTTCCAACTCATCCGAGCCACTGGCAGCAAGAAGTCTGGTGTGAGTGAAACAATCTGCGAGGATGATGGGATGCCAATCACTAACATCCATCGACGTCTTGGACGATGGGCAGAATTTTTCGAAGGGCAGTTCAACTGGCCTGCTGCTCCGGCAACATCGGTCAGACTGTCCTGCCCTCCATGGCCGGTGACGACTGATCCACCAAACGAGGAGGAAGTCCGCAAGGAACTCCAACTCTTGAAGCGTTACAAATCACCTGGCCCAGATGACTTACCTCCGGCTCTTTTTAAAGATGGTGGTGACTTTTTGACTAAGGAATTGACGACGTTGTTTACAAAGGTTTGGGAACTAGAGAGTGTACCAACGTCATGGAATGAGTCGATAGTTGTCCCTATCTTTAAAAAGGGTTCACGTCGTTCCTGTAACAACTATCGGGGGATAATTCTACTTCCGATTGCGTCCAAGCTATTGGCTTCCGTCATACTTCGTAGGTTGTTCAAAACCCGAGCAGGCTGGTTTTCGTTCTGGTCGAGGATGTATTGATCATATCTTCACCCTCCGCCAAATGTTAGAACACCGCCATACTCATCAAAGGCCAACAATCGTAGTGTTTCTTGACATCAGGGCTGCCTTCGATTCGTTGGACAGGACTGTTCTCTGGGATTGTCTATTGAAGAAGGGTGTGCCTGAGAAGTTTATTAACATCCTAAAAGCCCTATATACAAACACCTCAGGCAGAGTGAGGGCATACAACCACCTCTCTCCATTGTTCCATTCGAGCAGTGGGGTTAGGCAGGGTTGCCCAATCTCACCATTCCTCTTCAACTTTGCCATCGATGACATTCTGGAAACAGCTCTGATGAATGTAAGTAATGGTGGTGTGGATCTGTTGCCTGGAGAAAGACTTCTCGACCTTGAGTATGCGGACGATATTGTCTTACTGTGCGATAATGCCCAAGGCATGCAATCCGCACTTAATCAGTTGGCAATCAGTGTCCGTAGGTATGGTATGTGCTTTGCACCTTCGAAGTGCAAAGTACTTCTACAAGACTGGCAGGATTCTAATCCTGTACTCACCCTGGATGATGAGCAGATAGAAGTAGTTGAGAAGTTCGTGTATCTGGGTAGCTGCATAAGTGCTGGTGGTGGCGTGAGTGATGAGATCAATGCACTTATGGTGAAAGCCAGAGCGGCTTATGCCAATCTGGGCCACCTTTGGCGCCTTCGTGATGTTAGTCTGGCTGTAAAAGGTCGGATCTACGACGCGTCGGTGCGATTAGTTTTGCTCTATGCTTGTGAAACCTGGACTCTCCGAGTTGAGGATGTTAGACGACTCTCTGTGTTTGATTATCGTTGTCTCCGAAGGACTGCTGACATCCAGTGGCAACATCATGTCAGTAATGCAGAGGTTCGGCATCGTGTGCTCGGGCACAGAGACAATAATCCAATTGGTGTCACCATCTTGAAACACCGACTTCGGTGGCTTGGACATGTTCTACGAATGTCGTCCCAGAGAATTCCACGTCGTGCATTATTTGCCGATGCTGGGACTGGTTGGAAAAAGTGGAGAGGTGGTCAGTGTATGACATGGTGTTGTGGTATGAAAGAAGGCTGCAAAGGGATGGCTTCTGTTGTTCCTTCACGACTCCCTGGCTGGGTCCGAGAGATGGTGCAGAGACGTTATCAGATATGGCTCAGAATAGAAGCCGATGGCGATCCTGCTGTAATCTTCTCCTACTTCATAAAAATTGGTTGTATCTTCCTCAACTGAAAGAATTATTTTGGTTGCACTTTTCCCTTTCCCTCATTATTATTATTATTAATATACTACCTTACACTAATCTGTGGTCGTTATTGTTCTTTTTTTTCTCTTATACGCTCCTTACCTTCTTTTCTTTTCTTCCCATTGTCAATGTGGCGCATATATATTTAGTGCCCCTTGTGTTCAAATTAATAAATAATAAATAGTCAGACAAAAATAAGTTACCGACAAGTGATGAGTAAGATAAGAAATACATACTAATGCGCTTTGATAAAAAAACAGTCGAGGTTGATAAGCGAATAATTAACAAGGTCAAAATGTGATTTAAGAAGAATGAATAAATCAACCTGTTTCTAAACTAGAATAAGCTATCTGGGCCCAGCCCCTACACTTTGACTAAATGGTATTCTTTATGTATAGAAAATAGAAACAGTAATAAGTGTGCAACACAGAATTTAGCTTTATTATGACGCTTGCGACATAAATATACATGAGGAACCTAACAATTCTGCAAGTAACTAACATGTGTAACTCAGAGACACTCTAATACAGCATTTAGAATCAATTTCATTACAGTATTCAAGAATTCACACTAGCAATAAAGTTTATCACAGTAATTTGTTGTGTATTAACTAACAGACAGTCTTGAACTGGTTACAATTCAGAGATTGGGGGTTCAAAGCATCAAACTTCCTGTACATGCTCACGATAATTGTTGTATCTTTCAGTAACTTCGTTACACCTAAAGTATATCTCAACATTATGCAATCGTTAACCAGCCTCAATAAATTCCTAATCATTTCAGGCCTAAATCTCATTACTTGCTAGGCTAGTGAATTGGAACTTCTCAAATCAATGAGTAATTATGAATTGCGTCAACGTTAGTCAATAATATGGTGCATTTCTAACAAAATGTCAACTCACATATTTTTATATCGTTGTCTTTCCTTCTTTGTGTAGTAGGGAAGACCTTGTTCAGTGACAGCGCTGAAAATGTAAAAGAAGATTAAGTTGTTATATAATATACCACTCCTTGTAATGATTGTTGAAAATTCTAGTTCATTCATATTCCATGAATGATGTGTGTCATTCATGTTATTTCATGATATTTCCAACTGGAGTGCATTTAACAAAATCTTACGTGAAGAAAATAGGTGTTCCATGGCCGTAAGTTTTGAAATTTATCAGTTGAATTGTCTTAATTGATGCCCAATCGGGTTATATTACTGGCTGACAAATATCGGAGCAGAACGCGGGATTATGATACAATTAAATCTCATGCCATGCTTTTCAGTAAACTTGGTAAATTATGAAACGACACTACATACCTAGAAAAACACCGTGTTGATTGGATGACGTAACAAACACGTTACATTGTTTTCTGTGCATACCGACTTATGAGATATGACTTAATAATCTCATCGGTTTTCACCAAAATTTAGTTGTTTCTGGTTAGACACAAAACTTCAGCTACAATGCAGTCGAGATTTATTTTGATAAGACCAAGTAATAAAGCATCCTAAAGCCAATATAATTTTTATAATGAAGACAAATATTAAATTGGCGAATAACTAATGAGTGAAAGCTGATAAAAAATTGTCATGGTCGTTTATTTGTAATGAAATATTATTGGTAGAATAATTTCTTTCAGAAAACGGTGCTGGCAAATTTAAATCCACTTCAAATCATATAAACTAGCATTAAATAATCATCTAACCTTCTTAAAGAACTGTTGTACTAGTGGATTCTGTTAAATTGATGAGCAAGTTTTCGACTGTTGAAATGAAAAAGAAAGTGATGACCAGTGAATGATCATCAGTGATATGTGTTGTGGCTGACTTATGACTGGCTATAAGATTGCATTACTGACTTAAACCTCCCAACTGGTTTGAAATCAAGGAAAAAATCATTAACCAGAACAGTTTTCTTATGCGATGAAATGACATGCTTATATGCAACATATTACCACGAAATAGCATGATAGAATGTAATAGACGGTTAGATGCTGTTACCTCGTAGGGCACTCGCTCGTCAACTGAATACGATTTGATTGTTAGACTTGATCATAGAACGACATATCAAGTACATTCTAGTACGTGGTAATGAACTATGTGAAAATCTAGGTCACTCAATATAGGTATTGTAAAAACAATAACATTCAGAACTATAATAATGATTATACTTACCTATAAAACACATACTGATCAGAGATAAACAGATTTAACTCAACAGCAAGATATAAAGTCACTGTTATGATTACAAGTAGACCAATTACCCTAATTTTCAGTGACTTATGCTTGGAGTCAGTCATGATCACAAGTAAACTGTTGTGTGAGTTTATTAGAATTTGGCTATTGAAATTGTTCTGGTAGTTTTCATATATTCACTTGAATAGACTTTCCTATTTCATGTGCTTGATTAAACTACATAAAAATATGTTTTTTAAACAAATTTATCCTAAAATAGTTCACTGTGTATTCTTTATATTTTGATTAGCAGCTGATGAAGATGCATGTTTGTAAAAACACAATGTTTATTGGCTATGCAAAATGAAATTGAAAACATTGAGTAGTAAATCAAATCAAATAGCCAATCATTTATTCACTTGTGATATGCATGATCACGTTACATACTCTGAGATATTGACAACATGTTTTATGAATAAACTGAATGAACTCTATTTAGTAGGTCATTTTAACTATGTAGTTACAATCTTATTGCGTAAAACCTGGATATAAATAGGTGGAAAATTAGTTTCTGACATGTTTGGTGATGAGAAGAGCGGAATAGAGATGAAGAAATGACAAGTTATGAAAGCCACCTTTTGGGATATTAGTTCAGTCATTTCATAATCTCTAATTACCAACATAATTGGGTATAGAAGGTTTCTTTATATTCGTCTTTTTTTCTGTTGTCAACCAAAAACTATTGTCGTTACAGATCCATAGTAAGCGAATAGTATGTTAATTTGCACTCAATGTCCGTTTGTTGCGCATTCGTGTTCTCAACATTATAAAAAATGGCCTAGTTTATTAAAGTCATTAATCACTTCCGAGACAAATCTCCCTGCATGTTTCACTACAGAAACTTTGGCAGATCAAGTTTACGACACCTGACTCACCAACATTTGTTTGTAAAGAAATTAGAATGATTTATTCTTCCACAATTACCCATTATCTTGAATACAGCTGAATTTTCAAAGAAAATTCATTCCATAGCACAAGGAATGTGGATGAACATGTAGATTTCTTCAACTTTTAAATATGTTAGTCAGAATTATACAGTTATCAGAGACATAATGCTTCTGAATAAACTCCCGTTGTCTTCACTCATGTTTCAGTGTTAATGATGGAGGTGACATGACAAAATAAGCAAACTATTTGTATAAAAGCATCACGAAGTGATTGCTTTCAATAACATAGATTGCATCTCAATGAGATATAGTCTCAATTTTCAAGCGACAATAAAGTATAGTTAGTATTTCAGTCATCTATAAGGTAATTTATTAAACAGCAATAAACACGTGCTACTTGTGATTTCATAACACATTATAACAAGCCCTAAAAACTCATAGAATCTTTCACAATAGGTTATGTTCCCATCTGGAGATCAACAATGGCTGTATTGCTTTGATTTGTTAGCACTTTTTGGAATAATTATTAGTAAAAGCATTATTATGAAGACAAAAACTTTTGGCTTTTAACAATGCATGGCAACATTATAGACAAAATCATTTCCAAACTTCACGATTCATTGATTAGCAACAAAAAAGTTTATTTTCATTGCATAAAGAAAAAAATTATGAAAGGATAGTGAAAAACGGGTATATTTTTTAACCTTAAGATTTATAAATATACATTATGATATTCGAAAGCATATATAAATTATATAATATGTAAGGAATGAGCAATCGGGAAATGGCTTTGATCACAGATAGTGGAATGAAAAACTTTTATAGAACAACTAACAGTAAATAGTTGTATCATTGAACTTCGGGTTGCCTGAACTGGTTCAAAACCCAAACCACATGAGATGAAATTCAGATCATTCAAATTTGTGGTGGACACTATATGATATAGATTTTCTATCATCTAATTTTATTGATTGAATCCCTGCTCATTATTGAAACAATTAACCCTATATAGGAAGGATTCTCACATGAATGTTATTTATTTCAGTTTGATGCAGTTCATATGCGTTTTATGCTAGTCAACATATACGTATTTGACACCGTCTGTCAATAGATAGAAAATCAAAGGTTATTTCGAGTTATTTAACCGTTAATCTGAAGTTTAGAATCGACATGGATACATAGTCCACATTTGTTGTATAGAATACTGTTACATTTGATATAATTCAGTCTGGAAATATCACTTCGCTGTCTTTAACTTTAAAACTTAATTATGTCATTCTGATGTAAAGATTGTAATTCTTCGGTGAGTTATCGAAAAATGACTTTTTCCAGTGAGTTTTTACTTGATTGAGCCCAACAGAGAAATAATATTCCATAACTTATTCATCTTAACTTATTCTAGATTTACTTGTTTTGGATAATGACTAGTTACTGTGTACATGAGTGGTTTTTAAACTAATCACTCACTTTTGTGGTGTCTGAATTTTGGTTCAAGAGTGAATCTAGATTAAAATTAATTTAAGATGTATTTCTGTGACACAACTGTTTTCAGATTATCCTGTTTCCATCAATCTCTATCAAAATGTTATTCGTTACTAATAAACCAACTGAATGAATATTTAGTAACTTATCAACGCATTAATTAGGATTCACAATGTGGTGAACGAGAACACAAGTGGTGACTGTATTTAAATACAAAACTACAGAAAGTCTTAGTAAAATCTGATATCCATTCAGTAAATACTTTATTTACAAACTATCAATCAATCGTCTCAGGCTTGGTTGTTCCTTCGTTTCTACACCAATCATTCGATGTTCTCGTTCCCTTTTCTTCAATATTCTTAACCTTCTACCATCAGGCATTTCACTTTCGATTGATCGTACATACTATTTATATATGTCGACATCAGTAGAACACACTACAATTAGTCTATAAAATTATTGATTTGTGAATAATTTTATTATGTAAATTTTTCATTATGCATAATTAAATATGAAAAGGAAAATCGATATCTAAAGTCATTTTGTAAAAATCAATTTGAATTTATTTAAAAAAAAATGAAATTAGCAACAAATCATTCATGATGTTAAAATTTTGAATAAACCGCGTAATTTTTTTTATACTCAGGTTGAAATATACATTCAATTATAACAATAGAAATAATGAATTATCATATTGTCGATTTATATCAAAGGTAACATTAAGGCAATAACATTATAATTTCATATTTCTTCAAATAATAGTAGGATATGATGTGAGAAGTATATATTATTACTACTACCGATGGCAATTATTGTATTAATGAACTTACGTCATAGATTCATTAAAAAAAACTACTATTTATAGTGACTCAGTTGATATGATAAAATTATTCAAATACTTACTTACTTACTTACTTACTTACTTACTTACTTACTTACTTACTTACTTACTTACTTACTTACTTACATACTTACTTACTTACTTACTTACTTACTTACTTACTTACTTACTTACTTACTTACTTACTTACTTACTTACTTACTTACTTACTTACTTACTTACTTACTTACTTACTACTTACTTACTTACTTACTTACTTACTTACTTACTTACTTACTTACTTACTTACTTACTTACTTACTTACTTACTTACTTACTTACTTACTTACTTACTTACTTACTTACTTACTTACTTACTTACTTACTTACTTACTTACTTACTTACTTACTTACTTACTTACTTACTTACTTACTTACTTACTTACTTACTTACTTACTTACTTACTTACTTACTTACTTACTTACTTACTTACTTACTTACTTACTTACTTACTTACTTACTTACTTACTTACTTACTTACTTACTTACTTACTTACTTACTTACTTACTTACTTACTTACTTACTTACTTACTTACTTACTTACTTACTTACTTACTTACTTACTTACTTACTTACTTACTTACTTACTTACTTACTTACTTACTTACTTACTTACTTACTTACTTACTTACTTACTTACTTACTTACTTACTTACTTACTTACTTACTTACTTACTTACTTACTTACTTACTTACTTACTTACTTACTTACTTACTTACTTACTTACTTACTTACTTACTTACTTACTTACTTACTTAACTACTTACTTACTTACGCCTGTTACTCTTCGTGAAGGAACATATGCCGCTCATCAGCATTCTCCATCCGAGCCTGTCCTGGGCAATCCTTTCTAGCTCCTTCCTGTTGTTGTTCATCCTTTCTATATCTGATTCTATTTCCCAACGTAATGTGTTCTTTGGCCTTCCTCTTTTCTGCTTCCCTTCCAAATTCCAAGTTGGGTCTTGTCTCGTGATGCCGTTTGACGATTTGCATA